TATTTAGGAATGTCCCCGCCGAAGTAGGGCGCATCTGCCTGAGAGGCGAGGAACCGACAGACTGCATACAAGTAAGCCAGATCTGTCAAACGGATGTACACACAGAAGTCAAGTTCTGTAGCAAGACTAAAGTAGACGAACCAGCAGAACTTTCTGTCAGAGTCCCCAGCCTGTAAACGCTCAGAAGAAGAACTCATTCACTTGGAAATTCCCTGAATTGTATCTGTGAGGGAGATATCCAAAAACAACAAGAACAGGGATGCCTAACAGACATAAATCCACTACTTTAAGGACACATTGTTAATAACATTGTCTATACCACTGGTTTTTAACCTGGGGTGGTGGTGGTGGTGGGGGGGGGGGGCTGGAGGGTTAAGGCGCAAGGAAATGTCAAGGTGGCGTGAGGCAATTTTTAAATTTGTCTGTACTTGGATTAATCCGTTATAGTACAATTTGTTCCCTAGTTTAATAATAATAAAATATTTTAAAAAACTATTATTAATAGTAAAATAATATATATATATATATATATATATATATATATATATATATTATAATACATATTAGTACAATAGTTTTGCTATCTGATATCTATAGGTACACACGAACACACAACATTCAGATACAGTCTCCTCCCCAAGTATGACGATTTTTTTTTAAAATTCAAAAACCCCGCCCTGGTTGTTGCCAGCGACCCTAATATAATGTTTTTTTTTGCCCCCCCCCCCTCCCCCCAATGTTTCCATTTTAAAATGGGAGCTGGTGGGTGCTGAGGGTTTCTGGCCATATATTGAAGGGGGTTATCATCTGGGAAAAAAAAGAAGCCACTGATCTAATTAATCATTGAACAGTTTCTGTCGTCATAATATCCACACACGCGTCAATGGGACAATATCTCAGGTAATAATGATTCTAATTGCATAAATGTCGGAAAGAAATGTTGACTGAAAACTCAATGAGCACTTTATATCTTAATCATAACACCGAGGATGGAAAAGAATAATTTTGTGAACACTACTACTACTCCTCCTCCTCCTCCTACTACTACTACTACTACTACTACTACTACTACTACTACTACTACTACTACTACTACTACTACTACTACTACTACCACTACCACTACTACTACTACTACTACTACTACTACTACTACTACTACTACTACTACTACTACTACTACTACTACTACTACTACTACTACCACTACCACTACTACTACTACTACTACTACTACTACTACTCTGTACAGAAAATATTTAGCAGGTTAATTGCATATCCTTTACAGGACGTTGAAGAACCAACCCTAGCATTTTTTTGGGCTGTTGTAACTTCTCTAGGCAAATCTTACGCTCAGTAGCTTGCCATTGCGCATTAACGGCTAAATCTAGGTACCACTGTCGAAACCAACGCAAGACAAATCATCCGCAGCTGGGATTGAAACCAGCACACCATGTTATTACTAAGAGCGTTCCCAACGCCTAAGCCACAGACGCTGACAAAAAAAAAAAAAAAAAAAGGAAAAAACATTAAAAAAAAATTAAATTAAACATAAACAAACCTTTTTTGTACTATTAGCTTTCTATTACTTACCATGCATACAATTAACAAGTACACTAAAAAGATATAAAATAATTTATACTATGGTATGTAGAACATATTATATAACACTGACGTGTTGCATGTTATTTATTTTGTATGTATTTATTATTATGTAATTTATTGGATAATTAAAAATTCAACATACTTGAAGGTATTTCGCTTGGTGGTCCGTAGCCGATCTGGTTATTGCCGGCCTTGACCCTAAAGCGGTACTCTGTGCCAGGAGACAGACCTTCCTTGACCTCATAAATTAACCATTCTTTATAATCGTCGTTGTAGAGGCTCTCTACGGGGATGTCTGAAAGTCACATGTAAATGATGTTTAGAAAAGTGTTGTTCAAGATTTTTACACATCCGGCCCGGGTTTTATAAGAAATTTTTCGTGAAACGAGATTTTAATAGGAAATATTTCGTGGAACGGACTATAGAAGAAATATTTCGTGGATCGGGAAAATATAAGAAATATTTCGAGGCCGGCTCACGACAAAGACAAAAAAAAAAAAAAAAGATTTACCAGGAGGCTTCAAATTAAACCTTAAAAAATGTGACATCAATCACATAACCATATCACTGTCTTGTAACCAACCTGTCAATACTGTTGTTAAGAATGTCAAGTGTGAAGCATGTGGCATCATGGTGACATCATAATGGCAGGTTAAAGATGGCTGCCACACTTTTGACATGCTCCAAGTTTAAAGGTGGTCACCTACTTTTGACCAAAAAAAGAGCAGCGTTCGGTTACCCGCATTAAAATCTTTGAGGGCGTGCAACTTATAGGAATTCATCCAAAAGAAGGTCCACAATGGTGATGCTTGCCTGTCAGTTCAGCAAGTGTATAAGTGAAGTAGGATACTTCAAAACGGGGTGATGTCTGTGACAGACAGTTCATGACTGGGTCAGGCACACTGATTAGTGGTGACATGAAGGAGAAAACTGGAATACACTGTGACTGTGGGAAAATTGGAGGGGGAAAAGAAACAAAAGGTTGATCGAAAAAAAAAAAGAGAGAGAGAGAGAGAGAGAGAGAGAGAGAGAGAGAGAGAGAGAGAGAGAGAGAGAGAGAGAGAGAGAAGAGGCCGAACAGTCTGGCGTGGCATATAAGACCACCTGTGTCAGAACTGACTCAATATACACGAGACAGAAGGTCGTATACAGATATGACTACTAACGCCTTACAGCATGAACTATAAGAAGTAAACTAGACAGGAAGTTTTGCATAGACATGACTACTAACGTCACAAGCATGGACTATTAGAAGTACAAGAGACAGAAGGTTGTGGATAGACATGACTGTCAACCCTACAAGGCATGAACTATAAGAAGTACAAGAGACAGAAGGTTGTGGATAGACATGACTGTCAACCCTACAAGACATGAACTATAAGAAGCACACGAGACAGAAGGTTGTGGATAGACATGACTACCAGCGTCACAAGCATGAACTATAAGAAGTACACGAGACAAAAGTTTGTGGATATACATAACTGTCAACCCTACAAGACATGAACTATAAGAAGTACACGAGACAGAAGGTTGTGGATATACATAACTGTCAACCCTAGAAGACATGAACTATAAGAAGTACACGAGACAGAAGGTTGTGGATAGACATGACTACCAACGTCACAAGCATGAACTATAAGAAGTACACGAGACAGAAGGTTGTTTCTTTCAATAATTTTCTTTTCATTTGCAGTCTTTCCAGAACCTTGTATTTGATTGTTTTTTTTTTCTCCCTAAAATACGACTTATTCTTCTGTATATCCACATTTACAGACTGCAGACGAAGAATGCTGACAGAAATGGCGATAAAAATGACGCGCTGAGAATTATAATGACACATGTTAGTTGCGTATCCTTTACAGGACTTTGTAGAATCAACCCCAGCAAATCTGTTTAAATCACCACTGATCACTGGCATCATGAGAGCTAATAGACTGAAATGGTTGGGGCATATTTGAAGAACGTCAGATGGCAGAGAAGTAAAAACTGTATACACCAGGGAGATAAATGGTCATAGACCACGAGGGAGACCAAGAAGACTATGGAGAGATAATATCCAGATAGACCTGCAAACACTTGGTGTCACCAGCTGGAAAGAGAGGGCCAACCAGAGAGATGAATAGAGGCGGGTGATATCTGCAGCAATGAACCTCAAGGGCTCGGAATGCCGAAGAAGAAGAAGAACTCCCAGCATTGTTTGGCTGTTGTGGTTTTTCTAGGCAAGTTTTACGTTCAGTAGTTTGCCAATGCCGATTGAAAGGTCAGTTCTCGGTACCACTGTCGAAACCAAAGCAAGACAAATCGTTCGCATCTGGGATCGAACCCGCCATCCTAGCATTACAAAGCGCGTTCGCAACGAATAAGCCAGAAACGCATAATGCCAATACCATAGTAACAATGATAATGACGGTGTTGAAGGGAAGGAATAAAGTAATACCTGCTGTCAGCAAATTCCACTTGTACCCGTGTTCGTCATCATAGTGTGTCTGGAACTCTATGGCGTATTTATGAACTGGATAGTAGTGGTTTTCCCCTTCCTTCCACCAGATTTGAACTTTACCAAAGGGAATATCTGAACTAGGGTTCACACGCGCATGAACACCTCCGGGTTCTCCTGGCGGACCTGGTGAAGTTCACGGAAACATTATATCACAGAACAAAAAAAAAAACAAAAAAATGAACGAACGAATGAACGAAGACATTTTATTTTCAAATGGTTACAAATTGAACATCCTTAAAAGTCTATGGTTAAGCACCAGCAAGGAGATCAAAATTAGAATTTTGAGAGCATGCATCTTCCCTGTGGCTACATAGGGATGTGAGTCGTGGACTATCTCTCAGTCCTTAAGAAAGAGAATAGGGGCTTTTGAGTTGAAATGTTATAGAAAGATTCTCAGAATATCTTGGACAAAGAAGATGAGAAATACTGACATCTTAAAAGATCTGAACATCAAGAAAGATTGGCTAATTAACAGCATCCTTTCTCGAAAGCTGAAATATTTTGGTCATATCAAGCGCCACGACGGATTGGAAAAAACTATAGCAAAAGGCATGGTACCAGGAAGAAGGGCAGGGCCTGACCGACACGAAGATCAGCACAGTATATAGGAGACTCCTTGAATGTGAAAATGCATGAGGCGGGAGAACTGGCGGGAGACCGAGTTTCTTTCAGGCAGACTGTAATAAGAGCGACGTTCTGCAAAGGACCTGCTACATAATGATGACAAATTGAGCCCGCAGGCCAGTCTTACATAGAGACAGAAATAGGAACACTTGGCTTTTCCTATAAATCGAATAAGGTTCACAAAACAATTACATTATAGGGATAGTAATTTGAACACTTGGCTCTTCCTACAAACCAAATAGTGTTCATGAAAACATTACACCACAGACACACAACTGTGAACACTTGGTTTTTCCTATGAACCGAATAATGTTAAAAAACACATTATAACTTCTTCTTCTTCTTCTTCTTCTTCTTCTTCTTCTTCTTCTTCTTCTTCTTCTTCTTCTTCTTCTTCTTCTTCTTCTTCTTGTTCTTCTTCTTCTTCTTCTTCTTGTTCTTCTTCTTGTTCTTGTTCTTCTTGTTCTTCTTCTTGTTCTTGTTCTTGTTCTTCTTCTTCTTCTTCTTCTTCTTCTTCTTCTTCTTCTTCTTCTTCTTCTTCTTCTTCTTCTTCTTCTTCTTCTTCTTCTTCTTCTTCTTCTCTTCTTCTTCTTCTTTTTTTTTTCTTCTTCTTCTTCTTCTTCTTCTTCTTCTTCTTCTTCTTCTTCTTCTTCTTCTTCTTCTTCTTCTTCTTCTTCTTCTTCTTCTTCTTCTTCTTCTTCTTCTTCTTCTTCTTCTTCTTCTTCTTCTTCTTCTTCTTCTTCTTCTTCTTCTTCTTCTTCTTCTTCTTCTTCTCTTCCACCTTGTACCTCATGGTAGTGTCCGGGGGGGGGGGGGGGGGTGGGGAGATGTAATGTTCGTTGATGAGCTCTGTCAAGAGCTCTATAAGACTGATGTTCATTTCTGTAAAGCTGTTCTTAATGCCATCACTCCATATTTTCCGAGGTCTTCCACTCGCTCTATTTCCGTGGTAGCGTTTTAGTGTGGCTCGCTGTGGCAGATAATACCAGGGCATTCTTGTTAGGTGTCCAAACCACTTCATTTGTTGTTCTTTGATGACCTGTACAATGACGGGTACAAGTGCCTTTTTCGGCACCTTCAGGCGTATTGGGCATAGTGGGCTAGACCTATATTTTATATACCCATCGGCACTTAGTGGTTGATGTGGTCAACACTGCGGTCCCGGCCTCCACTTGCCAGGACATTATATAGTACCCACTAAAGGCTGGGTCAACTTTGGAGTCTAGGTCATTGTTGAAAAAAAACCCAGTTTCGTTTGTACCTGAACCTACGACCTTCCGATCCACAGGCCAGAGTCTAGACACTTCTTCGGAACATGTTTTTCAGCTTGTCTGCTTGTTGCCCATCTCTCACTTGCAGATTAAATAAAATACAGGCTCTGAATCGTACTTGATCATTCTTCTACCAATACCTTCCCCTTGCAACTGACATATTATTTTCTAGTAAATATCGTTTGCAACTTGCTATAGGTTACTTTTGCCATGGCTATTCTTGTTTCTAATCTCTGATATTGCGATTCCTTTTTCTAAACTCCGACATGGCAATTCCTGTTTTTAATATCTGACATGGTGATTCCTGTTTCTAAACTTTGACATGGCGATTCTTTTTTCTAATCTCAGACATGGCAATTCCTCTTTCGAAACTTTGACATTGTGATTCCAGTTTATAATCTCTGAAATGGCAATTCCTCTATCTAATCTTGGCATGGCAATTCCTGTTTTTAATTTCTGCCATGGCGATTCCGGTATCTAATCTCTGATATGGCGATTCCTCTATCTAATCTCTGCTATGACAATTCCTGTATCTAATCTCTGACATGAGAATTGTTGTTCTAGCCTATGGTATTATGATTTCGGTTTATAACCTGTTATATGGCGATTTCTGTTTCTAACGTGTTATATGGCGATATCTATTTCTAACCTGTTATATGGCGATTTTTATTCCTATTTCTGACCCCTAACTATCTTTACTAATGCAATTAAAAAAGGAAAGAAAATGTTAAATTTGAACCTTTGACTTTGATCATAGCCTTCTGGCTGATAGATCCGGTTACCGTGGAAACGACACAAGTATATTCTCCCTCGTTACGAAACTGTGCACTGATGATATACAACAAGCCGGAGTCCTGGCTCTGTACATACGGCTGAAATAAATACATTTTATGGTCAGATTCGGAATGATTAAAACCATTTATTACATGAGTGGTTGAATATCATCAACCCGTTAGGTACATCTACATGTGCAACAAATACATCTGCATATCCAAATGTGTCAACCATAATGCACTTTGCTGTACAATTAAGATACACCCTGGGATGACCGAAGGGGACTACTAACTGTTGCATATTGGGGAAGACAGGCAGACAGACTGGCTGGATCCTCACCACTTGGGGGTGAGTTGTTCACGACAAAGCACACGCTGTCAAGGCCTTTTTGGAACAAGTGATGAAGTCAGAAAATAAAATAGATTATCATCGCCTCAAGAGAATGATACCCCGGGTGTGACCAGAGGGCCTGGCCTCTACACTACACTCAGAGGAAAAGTAAGATGAACATATAATCAGACTGCGTCCGGTACCAATAGTAATAGAATTCTGCGCTGGCTGCTGAAGATGGGAATGGAGTGCTTATGGGAATGTCCGAGTGCTGTGATGTCTTTCTTGACTCAGCTCAACTCAGCTCAGTTGAATATAAATGACAACAGATAAATTTACTACACATATCAATGTATTATGAAGACACGTCACTGAACAGAAAATAGAACCGTAAATTCAGATGTTTACTGTAAAATCTAAAAGTTCACTCTACTTATTTTACAGTGGTTCGAAAAGATCAAAGGAATTGGCTGGTATTCAGCATCCTAAGCATCTTTGGACTAAAGAATATTCCTATTTTTGCGTCATGGATATCCTAAGGCTGCATGCGAAAAATCATTGTGATCTAACAGGCAGTTTTCGAAAAAATGTCTTGCAAGTGTGTTTATCAATTGTTGAACGAACAATAAGATTTGAGTTAATATAAGAAACCCCGAGCTGGCATCCCGTTTCTTGGCCCACAGACTATTGAATGTAAAATTACTGAATTTCAAAGTTTCCAGTTGAAAAAAAAAAAAAAAATTCGATACTTTCTTAAAATCTTACCCCAAAGAGGGGAAATCCACAGGTCACGGGACAGTATTTTTGGGGTGGTAGATAGTCTGCATGCAGTCGTGGGACCTAGTCTGCATGCATTTGTGGGACCTAGACTGCACTCTCTCGTGGGACAAAGATGAATTGGGGCTAGGGAGAGTTCCAGAAGTTTCGGGGTCGTTAGAAACATCAGAAAACCGGGAAACCTATTCTTACCACCCTCTAAAATGTTGGACTTTCATGTGACGTCATCTGGGGGTAGGATAATAATAAAGAACCAAGAATTCACAAGCAGCCAGAAACTGTTGGCGTAGGTTATGAAACGTCCAGTAAATAATGCACGACTAACTAGGGGTCTTTATTTTTTATTCACCCTAAGTACGAGGAATCCCGGAGTTCAATATTATAGGGGTGTTGCAGTTTGAAATGATCGCCGACTAGCCCTAACCCATACACCCCTATAATATTCGACTTTGCTGAAATTCCAGGATTCCCCGTATTTGGGTTAATTAAAACAGAAAGAACCGTAACTATCTGTAGTGTGTTAAGCACATGACCAGAGATCAGTAAAGAATTTCCGCCTGCAATTATGTTTTTCCAGTACCACTGCCCAAAACAATTATAAATGAAAATCCACAAAGTTACCATTGAGTAATGTATAGCGTCATTACTGACGGCACCGGTGAAGTCGATCATGTGAGAGTTAAACATCCAACTGTAGGTGACGTCGGTTTTACTTTTGTCGTAGGACGCCTTGCAGTTCAAACTTGCTGTGTGGTTCTGCTCTACTTCCTGGTGGGATGGGATCTCTGCAAATGTTACCCCTCCTGAAAAAAAAAAAAAACAAGAAATTGTACTTATTAATGAGAATAAAGGACACAGCCCACCCCCCCCCCCCCTTCTCCGGTCACTTTATAATTTTCAGTAGTAGTAGTGGTGGTGGTTGTGGTGATGGTAGTAGTAGTAGCAGTAGCAGCAGCAACAGTATTAGTAGTAGTAGAAGTATTAGCATCAGCAGCAGCAGCAGCAGCAGCAGCAGCAGTAGTAGTAGTAGTAGTAGTAGTAGTAGTAGTAGTAGTAGTAGTAGTAGTAGTAGTAGTAGTAGTAGTAGTATCAGCAGCAGCAACAGTATTAGTAGTAGTAGAAGTATCCGCAGCAGCAGTATTATTTTTAGTTGTAGTATCAGTAGCAGCATCATCAGTATTATTAGTAGTAGTAGTAATAGTAGCAGCAACAGCAGTAGTAGTAGCAGCAGTAGTAGTATTAGCAGCAGCAGCAGTATTAGTAGTAGTAGTATAAGTAGCAGCAACAGTAGTAGTAGTAGCATTAGTAGTAGCAACAGTAGTAGTAGTAATAGTAGTAGTAGTAGTAGAAGTATCAGTAGTTGTAGTAGTAGTAGTAGTAGTAGTAGTAGTAGTAGTAGTAGTAGTAGTAGTAGTAGTAGTAGTAGTAGTAAAATTAGTAGTAGTAGTAGTGGTGGTGGTTGTGGTAGCAGTAGTAGCAGCAGCAGTAGCAGTAGTAGTAATTGTAGTAGTAGTAGTAGTAGCAGTAGTAGTAGCTGTAGTATTATTATTATTAGTAGTAGTAGTGGCAGTAGTAATAGCAGCAGCAGTAGTAGCAGTAGTACTAGTAATACTAGCGGTAGTGGTAGTAGTAGTAGCAGCAGCAGCAGCAGCAGCAGTAGTAGTAGTAGTAGTAGTAGTAGTAGTAGTAGTAGTAGTAGTAGTAGTAGTAGTAGTAGTAGTAGTAGTAGTAGTAGTAGTAGTAGTAGTAGTAGTAGTAGTAGTAGTATCAGCAGCAGTAGTAGTGGTGACTAAAAGGATAATTTGAAGATGAAGAAAAAGAAGAAGATGATGATAATTAAAGATGACACAGAAAATTATAAGAAGAAGAAGATGAGGAGGGGGAGGAGGAGGAAGAAGAAGATAATAACTAATAATAGTAATAATAATAATAATAATAATAATAATAATAATAATAATAATAGTAACAATAATAATAGTGAGAAGAAGAAAAGTAAGAAGAAGAAGTAGGAGAAAAAGAAGAAGCATCTCTAATGGCCTACTGTTAAGAGCACCACAAATCCTACCTTGCACAATTAACACACAACTAGAGTTGGCCTGACCATAAACATTCTCCGCCACACAGGTGTACTTCCCGGCATCACCCTTGGTCAAGAGAGACAGCACCAGGTCTCCGTTAGGCTGGACATTGCCCAGCTCCTTCCCATTCTTGACCCATTTGATGGCGGGACGAGGCGCCGCTTCAGGCTTGCAGGATATTGTGATGTTGCCACCCTCGGCTCCTTGCTTGGAAGAGGCAACCGGACTGTTCTTAAATGTTGGAGCGAAAGCTGTAGGAATGGATTGTAAACGTATGTAGCATGTTCTGTTGTGGATTTTTTTTTTAAATTTCCTTCTTTCGTTTTTCTTTCGCCATTACAGAGGCAGTGAGTACCCCATGTTATGTTTTACAGAGATTCTGTGGGTCTCTGTGGTTGAGTGGTCAAGCCTCTGAAGGCCGTGAGTTCGTTTCATGAATGCGCCGTTCATTTTACGAATGCATTTTTTTACGAAGATCTATGGGGATCGACGCCGGAGCTACGAAGTTCACGCTTTGTGGGGCTCTCTTGGGAGGTGGCAAGCCGCTCCATGGAGAGAGACAGAGCCATATACGATAAAACCCGGTGCAATGAAGCTAATCCTCTTGACTCTAAACTTTCAGATGTGTTACGATATCAGTGCTTTTGACCTAAACAACTGATTTCACGAAATCCCCAATTATTCGCCTTTTACGACATGCTTGTTAAGGGGCAGTGGTTCTATTATTTTTTTTTCTCTTTCCCAAAACATGGCCCCTGATCTTACACGAAGATGCACTGTCCTGAAAATTTCTCGTTACGAACATGAGTGTTTTCTTTTGATGATACTTCTAAATCAGATTTTTTGTAAAATGCTGACATTCTTCTCCTATGTGTGTCTCGTCGAGAGGATGTATCGATGATCATCAGGACCCCTAGAAAGAAAGGTGCCGGTACTCACCAAAAGTGTCTAAAAAGGTATCGGTACTTACTACAAAGTGTCTCAAAAGTTGTTATAGGGCTCTGCCGTCGACTGCGGGAACAATTTGTGAACTGTGATAAATAAAGTTCCTTGGTTTGTTTTAAAAGAACAACACTATAAGTTAAAACTACATGACTCACCAAGAGCTCGGAGCTGAGCACTGGATCTAGACGAGGCGTAGACATTGGTGGCTTCGCACTGGTACATTCCGTTATGTTTTGCTGCGTTCACTTTGTCGATAGTCAGAATGTTTCTGTTGATCTGAGGTTCAGACATACAAAGCGTTAGTGTTAAATAAACCTCACGTATGTTATAATTATAAGAAAGAAGCAGTCGATTTTCTACTGGTTATATTCTTCAGCGCGGTTCCGTCTCGTGTTATCTTTCAAAAATGCCAGAAATAGTCCAGTCCAGATGCCAGATGTAGTCCAATCCAGAAGCTTTAGCTTCTCTATACGATGTTGTTGGAGTTTCTCATAAACGTCGCTGTTTCCTCAGTCTGTTTGCTTCATATTTCAATGCCTGTCTGATGATCTCTCTCAGGTTCCCCTCATAATATGACACTGGATTGGACTACATCTGGCATCTGGACTGGACTATTTCTGGCATTTTTGAAAGATAACACAAGACGGAACCGCGCTGAAGAATATACTGAGAGCCGTGTGTCACACTATAAATGACACAACAAGATGATGATGATGGTAGTGGTGGTTTTGATGGTGTTGGTGTTAGTGTTGATTATGATTCTGGTATATATATATATATATATATACACACACACACACAACAATAAAAGAGATATAGAATTTAAGACAGAGAGATGGAGTTCTTCTTCTTCTTCTTCTTCTTCTTCTTCTTCTTCTTCTTCTTCTTCTTCTTCTTCTTCTTCTTCTTCTTCTTCTTCTTCTTCTTCTTCGCGTTCACCAGCTGCAAACTCTGGCGGAAAGTTCTGGTTGTTCGTCCACTTCTGGACCGCAGTCCTGTTCCAGAACTTGAGTGTTGCGTGTGCATCCGTTTTGACGAATCTGACTAATCTCACTGACTCACTTAGTCGCTCCTCTTCAACCTTGGGGTGTAGAGGTTTGCCAGAGAGATCGCCAGACGTCTCTATCAGCAGTTTTCTTTCTGGCTTTGTTGCATTCCAGTCCTCTGTCAGTTAGGGACTGTCGTATGTTGTCTTCCCAGCGCATCCTTGGTTGCCTTAGAAATCTGGTTCCCTGGTTCTTAGCCTCCCATACCTGCCATGGTGGCCGATTTTTCTCCCATTCTGCATACATGTCCAAACCATCGTAACTGTGATTGATTCAGTTTGTAAGGACTGCGTATCAAGATCTTGACGTATTGTCTGATTGCGGACTTTGTCCCTTCTGGTCACTTGGACCACCTTTCTCAGATATGGATCTGACTAATTTGTATACAAACTGTTGGTTCCATGCCCCTCAGGCCGATGCACTCCGTCTTCGGGGCCGAGAAAGGAGACGATATAACCAGCTTCTCATGGGGACAATTAGTAGAAGTACTTTGGAGTGGCTGCTGCTTCGGAGAACTGAGCACGCATGGGTATGCCCAATTTGCAGTGACATCAAGTGTGATAACAAAACATAAAATAACATTTTGTAGGGAGTCGGCAGTCCGAAACCCAAGTTCAACGTGTTTCCTTCGTGCCAAAGAACTGCATGGCTGTTGGGTGAACAATCGTTAACGAAGGCAGGCAGGTCGTTGTAGGGGCGACGCCTGCTGGTGGATGTAATGTCCTAAGTCCCTTCCCCAGCCAATAATGAGGGTACTGCTGGGGTGACCGTTTATTAACCCTCATATAATGTTTCAGGTCAAAATGGACGCTAGGCACGGCCACCTTTTTTCCTCCTGCCAGACGGGGGCTGTTGCATTTTTGCTCCATTTGTAGACTGGAAGGATATAGTTTCGTCGCCCAGCTTCTGAGTTGAGTGCATGGCGTGACACTGTGAGCTACGTGTATTTTTTCGTTGACACAGGAGCGGAGCAACTATGGGGTGACCCGTTTGCTATGAAGCTGAAACTAGGATTACCAGATTACCAGATTACTCGGACTTTGAAGGGACCTCTCAATTAGTTTCCCGTACAATAGGGCCCTGGAACCAACCCGGGGAAGAGATGGAAAGGACAATCAAAAAGAATGCTGTACTTACCCATAAACCATCTGCCGCATTGGAGAAGAGAGCGACCCCGTTTTTATACCAGGTATAGGTGGGCCTGGGAACTCCAATAGCGTTACAGATCCAGGTCAACTTGCTGTCTGCATCCACATGCTGGTTCTGTAGTGGGAAAGGGAAGCTCGGCGGGGCTGTATCATGTCAGAAAAACGGGTTAACTGCTTAGAAATGGGCTCTAGGAAAACATGTCATGAAAGAAGTAACAGCTACCTGTTGAATGTTGACAACACTATCTATCGAGTACCTATTGGTATAAACATATGGGTTTAGTATCCCCCACTGGTATGAATGTTGAATGTTGACAACACTATCTATCGAGTGCCTATTGGTATAAACATATGGGTTTAGTATCCCCCACTGGTATGAATGTTGAATGTTGACAACACTATCTATCGAGTGCCTATTGGTATAAACATATGGGTTTAGTATTTTGAAGTCGGAGTGCATCTGCCTGAGAGGCAAGGAACCAGCAGTCTGCATTCAATTGAATCAGATCTGTAAAACTGATGCATACGCAACACTCAGGTTCTGGAACAGGACTGCAGTCCAGAAGTGGACGAACAACCAGAACTTTACACCAGAGTTTACAGCTGGTGAACGCGAAGAAGAAGAAGATATGTCTAATCCCCCACTGGTATGAATGTTGAATGTTGTTGAATGTTGAATGAAGAAGCGACATCATAGCACTCGGGACACTCCCATATGCGCCCTGTCCACATATTCAGCAGCAAACTAAGAGTTCCAATTCCGATGGTACCAGCAACTGTCTGATCATTTTCATCATCATCATCATCATCATAAACCACTTCTGCCGTTAAGCGACGTGGGAAGGAATAATTTGCGATCCAGTGCACGTTGGCTGCCTCTGGCTATTGTCATGCCGCGAAGGCGTAGAGTGTCTTTAATGTTGTCGATCCATTTTTTCCGCGGCCGTCCTCTTGCTCTTGTTGCTGATCTTCTGAGATGTAGTGTTTGTGATGGTATTTGATTTTGCGGCATTCTAACAAGATGGCCAAACCACTTGATCTGCTGTTTCTCGATGAATCTAGTACAAGATGTCGTTCCCACAATTTGCCTGACAGTTTCATTATTCACTCGATCTCGGATGGTTAGGTTCGCTGCTTTTCTCAGGCCCCTCATCTCGCAGGTGGTGATTTTGCGCATATGGGCTTTAGATAGTGTCCATGTCTGGCACTGGTAGCTTAATATTGGAATAAATATGTTAATAATAATCTGTCTCTTTGCACTCATAGTTATGCCGATCATTTTCACTGATGTGAAAATAAAAATCCGTCACGTCTTACTATTTTTGCTCACTAAAATATTATCTTCCGATGAAATGAAGCATTCGTCCTCTCCTGATTCCTACCAAGTCCTTTGTAGACATGTATATCTTTTCCCCAGCTTTCATTGGCTCTAAACTTCGTCCAAAAAATCTTGGTTCTTTGTCGGCATTGTTCCAGAACTTGTGTGTTGCGTGTATACATGTTTTTAAGACCTGGCTTACATGTATGATGACTGTTGTATCCCTGCACTTCCACTATAAAGGAATTGTTGATGGTATCTACGTTTGCCAGCACCCAGCAGGGACTCTGATTATAGGATGAACACGAAGAGATATAGATAGGTCTTCGCTAGTGTCAATCCTTCATCGCCACAGTGGTTTAGCATTCTGTAGGCTCGTTCACAATTTGCTGTATGTTGCAGATACACATTTTGCGAAATGACCCAGCCAAACACACCACCTAAACATCATTGTTTCTGATAGCATGCATTGTAGACTAAAGTGTTAATATTCAATGTTTTGCTAATGGGAAACAATGGTGGGGGGGGGGGGGAGACCAAGAAAAACAGGGAACAAGGCCTCTAGGACAACCCAGGGTTCGCTGGGAAGACAACGTTTGAAAGTCTCTGGCAAATCTTTACATCCCAGGATAGAAGAAAAGCAACTAAATGAGTAGGTAAGCTATCCTTATGGCCACCAGTAACACGATGGTGACATGTTCACATCTAGTCTAAAACTGTGTTAACAGATTTATTAAAATCGAACAAGCGATCGTTGTTTTTGGTTCTGGTAACTGCCCTCGTTAAACAAAAACTAACACGGCCAGCAGAACTATCACAACCACCAACCATCACATAACAACAAGAACAATAACAACAACTATTACTATTACTACTACTACTACTACTACTACTACTACTACTACTACTACTACTACTACTACTACTACTACTACTACTACTACTACTACTACTACTACTACTACTACTACTACTACTACTACTACTACTACTACTACTACTACTACTACTACTACTACTACTACTACTACTTCTACTACTACTACTACTACTACTACTACTACTACTACTACTACTACTACTACTACTACTACTACTACTACTACTACTACTACTATGACTACTGCAGCTGCTGCTTAACCACATCCACCGCTACTAGAGGCGCGGGAACCCAGGAGCTTAACTTATTAAGCCCTCTAGCTCCCTCATTAAAAAAATATTAAATAGAAATCTAAAATAAAAATGAAACATTTAATTTGTCATTTCTTTATTGTATATCTAAATATTCAAGTTATATCCTTCGTCGATAGACACTGGTCGAAACGTTCACGTGTCTGCATGTCTTTCTAATCGACTAGCTTCCTATTTGCACTGTGGCTCCTCCGCCCACTGTTGCTACTCAACAACATTTATGACAAACTTACCCAACAGGCTGATAAACACGGTTCTGTTTGCCGTGTTCCGGTCACCGCTGACCACACAAGTGTACGATCCTGTGTCTTCCAGTCTGGCCTTGGGGATGGTCAACACGCGGTTGTGATCTGAAAAAGTGGCGTCTGGATGCATTGGTCCATCGTTTCGCTTCCAGGAGTAGTACAAGGGGAGTCTAGAGATACAAGTGTGCAAAAAGGGAGGGGATAGAAATGTTGGATACAATCACACAGGAATGTAAACAGCGCAGGCAATAATTATCATCATCATCAAGTCGACTGGTGGAAAAAAAAGGGGGGGGGGGGGCGATCATACATTCCCATAAACGGCGATCTGCAACAGAATTCGTCAGCTCGACGTCATAAGTTACAAATTATGAACCGACATAATAGCACACGAGACATTCATGTAAGCGTTCCGTCTCCACCTTCAGTAGCAAGCACAGAGCTTCAAATCCGATGTTACCAGTAATAGCATGATTGTATGTCCTTCTCGCCACACCCATGAGTGCTGAGCGTAGACCAGGTCCCCTGGTAACTCCTTGCTGCACCATTCTGTTTGGATCGTGATGAACCATTTGTGCCTCGGCAGTGTCTACTGCTCGCTTCCAACCGGCACTTAACAACATATAGAGTAAAACCACCTAGATTGTCATGCATCAATTTACCACTAAATAGGGCAGCACTAACCAATCTATCTGCATGCTCATTTTCCAACACACCTGCAAAACCTGGGGGAAAAAAAAAGCCAAAGGACGCTAATAAAAGGCTGTAAAGAATTTCCTCGCCTTGTCCTCCTCTATCTATCTTTCTATAGATATTTCCAGTGGTCACAAAAAGGACTGCACCAACAAATAATACAAGAAAACAAAAAATCCGTGGTTAAGTGTTCAATCCGTTCGCCTGGTGCTTTAACTGTCGTACGTTCATTCCTAGGACCGTATCTCTTGGTTCATGAGCTCAGTTTTTAGGGAGATCTATGAGGATCCTCAATGGAGTTACAATGTTTGTGCTTCGTGCAATGCTCTCGACATGTGTACAGCCGTTAAGCGGCGAGTAAGAGAACAAGCCATGTGTGATAAAAACCGATGCAAGGAACTCAGCACATCCCGCATGAAATAGATCATTCATGCATCAGTTCTGTCATGTCGTCTTCAGGCTGGTTTGACCCGGTAGCCAAGATCAATTGTAAACATAAAGATAACCTTTCCTAATGCGGATGCACACTCAGAACCTTTGGACCGACAGACAAGAGAGCAATAATATATAATTAAAATATTCGATGGGAGTTGCGGTGGCAGAGCGACTAGACAGACACTCGTCTGCGGATAAAAAGGTCGTGGGTTCGCTCCCTGGCGGATCCGGACTTTTTTCAAAAATGACCTCGGCTCCCAGGTCGACCCAGTCTTGAGTGGGTACTGGATGAAGTCCCGGGAAGTAAGGGCGGCCGGCGTGATGATGTAGTAGAAGAAAAAGACAAAGAAGAAGAAGAAGAAGAAAAAGAAGAAGAAAAAGAAGGAAAAAAGAACAACAACAAGAAGAAGATAATATTCGATAAAGAGTGATATTCTTGTCCGGCAGTGGGTGTCTCCAAACCGTGTCTTACCTTCCGTAAGCCAAACATTCCACCTCTACCTTGTCGCCAACCATTGGCACTGAGGGAAAGTACTGTGGAAACTTGTCCTGGATGTCCGGTCCGTAGGTGTTTGCATCTGGAAAAGGACACGGATCCAGTTCAAATATTTCGTTAACACAAAGAATGTTCAACTTTAAACCAACTGTTTTCCGTGGGGCAATTAGGGGCTCCGCTGTGGAGCACAAAGAATACACCCACTGCTCACATAACAAGCATGTCGTAAGAGGCGAAGTATTAGGGCTGTTTTCTTCAAAAGTAGGAGTGCGTCTGACTGAGAGGCAAGGAACCAACAGTCAGTTTACAAATAAGCGAGATATGTAAAACAGATGTGCACGCAAAACCCAACTTCTGGAGTAAGGCCACAGTCTAGGAGTGGACGAACAACCAGAACCCTCCGCCAGAGTTTGCAATCGGTGAACGTCAAGAAGAAGAAGAAGAAGAAGAAGAAGAAGAAGAAGAAGAAGAAGAAGAAGGGGAATGAGTAGAAATCGATAATGAGTGAAACGTGATGTGGTGTTACCACATTACAGAGTGTCTTTCTGGTTGTTCGTCCGCTCCTAGACTTTGGTACTGATCTAGAAATGCGATTTTACGTACACTATCAATAACAACAACAACAACAACAACAACAAAAGATTAATAATGAAATGCGAGCCGAGGTCGCCTAGTCGTGCTCCCCCACACAGACCTGCAGGGTGCAGGCTGCAGGCTGGAGTCAGAAGTAGAACGGAGCACTTAAGAGTTACTATCCTTGTGCCACGATGTTGATCTGTTGTATCAACCTAAACCTCAACAAGTGACAAGGATCAACATTGATAAGGGCTTTTCTTTGGGACAAAAGGTGCCTGTACTGACCACAAAGGTCTAATAAAAAGTGTCCGTAAGCAGCAAAAAGTGTCTTTTACCGTTGTGCTGAAAACATGATTGCCTTAAAAAAAGGTGTAGGTACTAAGTCTGCGTATCTAAAAAAAAAAAAAAGACAAGACTTCCCTATCAAGCCCTTTATGGGCACTGGAAGAGAAAAGAAAACGGGGAAGATCAAGAGAAAAAAAGGCATAGAACCATTATCGGGGAAGGCTCAACTATAGGCCTAATGAATATCCAAGACATATAAAACAGTGGCAATGAACCGCCAGACACGGAGAGCTATGACCTCTGTCCCATGCGCTGCCTTAGGCTCAATAGGAAAGACTAACTGCGTACCTTTAAAAAAAGTATGGTTTGAATTCTTTGAAGTCTGACTGCCACATGGTACTATCCACATTTTTTATAGACAGGCTGACTTTCAATGTGTGAGTCAGTGAAAATAAAATCGGCTGCCTTTATTTCCCAGAATATTTGCAGGTATCCACTTTTTCCCGTTTGATTTAAAAAGTGCAAAACACTTGTTTTATAAATAACGTCACTGGAGTTACGTAGTTCGTGCTTTGCGTGTTACCCTCAGCATACGACCAGTCCTGCTATCGTATGAAATAAAACTCAGTGAAATGAAATGGCTTATATCAGCTTACACATTCTTGAAGTATGGTTACCTCTTTCAATATCGGAACAATCAGTGTGCGCATTCATTGACTTGTTCCGACTAGAACTGTAGACTGCTATAAGAAAGAGACAGTCAGTGTTCTTCGGTCATGGGATGAGAAAAGAGGCACTGAGGATCATTGTGAAGAGAGAACAAACAGGGCAGGACATTATGGCAAGGAAAATCTGTGTCAGAAGTGATGGAAAATACATGACACAGAGGTTGTGAATAGACATGATCACTAACGCAACACGGCATGGGCACTGTAATAATAATAATAATAATAATAATAATAATAATAATAATAATAATAATAATACAAGACATATAGCCAAACTTACTTTCTCCTATGATATTCAGCTGAATTCCCAAAGAGTTCCGTGAAGGAGGTTGCGTGTTAGCTAGCACCTGGCCACTCTTTGGAGCCATGAAGATGGCACAGAAATACAAATCGCTGAAACAGAAAATCACTGGATATTTGCTTACAGTCCACTCGTGGGCTCCGAGGGCCCATCGGGATTGGGGGGGGGGGGGTGAATAGATTCACTGGCAATTAAGAAGTATGTAAAAAAAAAAAAAAAAACCAACAACAACACACTACTATTTTTTTGGTTACTAGAAAACCAATATCTCTTTGGGAAAGGCGTAGATATCGCAACATAGTGGTAAACCACAACACAGCGTGCTAACTACATTTGCTTTAACTGCGAACACAGAAGAAGAGGAATGCATACATACGTGTATCCTGATATCCATTTTCCATCCATCCATCCATTTATCTATCTATCCATCCATCCGTCCATCCATCATTCATTCTAACTATCCATTCATCCATCCACCCGCCCTTTTCATAATTTGCTCTGTACCCAACTCATTGTCTTGCTTGCATGTTTGTTAGAATTAGCCACGTTTAACCAAGCTAGCCTCATTCTAGGTAGCTTTAGTTATATTTATGGCCCCGAATCGCACTGTTACTTCATTGTGTGTTTCTTGATGTTAGTGGTTCTAGCCTCTCACGTCTGCCTAGCCGGCTCCCCTTTTATCTCACCGTGTTGACTGTAAGGGAGTCATCTTAGTGCTGACTGGTCGGTTTGATGCTATATGTGTCATCGATTGATAAGGTTATGCATTGACTGGGTTATCTTATGTGCTGTGTTCTAGTGCGACAGCGGTAGCAGTCGGTCTGTTGGTGCGGCCGCGGTAGCAGTCGATCTGTTAGTGCGATTGCGGTAGAAGTTGTTCTCCTGATGCGACTGTGGGAGCAGTCGTTCTATTGTTGCGGCAGGGGTAGCAGACGATCTGTTGTTGCGGCCGCGGTAGCAGTCGATCTGTTAGTGCGATTGCGGTAGAAGTTGTTCTCCTGATGCGACTGTGGGAGCAGTCGTTCTATTGTTGCGGCAGGGGTAGCAGACGATCTGTTGCTGTGGCTGCGGTAGCGGTCGATCTGTTGGTGGGATTGCGTTAGAAGTTGTTCTGTTGTTGCGACTGCTGGCGCAAAGTTCTGTTTTTGCGACTGGGGTAGCAGTTCTCTGTTAATGACACTGTGATCATTTGTTGCGACTGCAATAGTAGCCATCTGTTAATGTGATCGTAGTAGCAGTCGGTCTGATCGTGTGACCTGCGGTAAAGTGCTTGTCAAACCATATTTTTACCTAGCCACTTTTCCATCCATACATGAAAGCATCTCACCAGTTTATCCACACATCTATCATCCGCTTTAACCACCGATTAATCCACACATTCATCCTTCCATCAATTGCTCTGTGTTCGAATTGTCTATTAAACCCTCATTTCACAGTACCACACGTCCATCCACCCGTCCGTCATTCAACCATGCATCCGTCTGTCATCCATCCATTCATTCGTTCATCCACCAATCCATTCATCCTTCAATCCTTCTATCAGCTCAGCCAATTATACACCTATTCGCAATTGAAACCATCCATTCACCCAGAGACATCCTCACATCACTGTAATCTTGGCCTGGCTTGGCATGCTCTGCGAAAAAAAAATCGTCATGTTAACTCAGCCTTCCCGAAGAGGGGGCTTTGGGTTATAACTGACAAGATTATTTGCACCAAATAAAAAAGCTTAGTATTGCTCGCCATCAAGTAGCTCTAAAGGAAGCTCTTGCAGTCTTGTTAACGACGAGCCATTGGGCGACCTGGTCTCCGATGGCTCTGTAGTCAAATCATCTAACCACCACCACAGCCTCTATTTAAACATCGCCCCGCCCAAGCAGACACCACCGGCTCACTTACTGGTCTGCCGCCTGTACCTCCGAGATATACAACCTCCCGTTTCTGGACAGGAAGTACTGGGCGTTCAGTTCTGGGCGGATGAAGTTAAACACGGTGTTCTTGAACCACTTGTAGGAGAGATCTGGGGACATAGGGCCATATAAGTAAAGTAAAGTAAAGTAAAGTAAAGTAAAGTAAAGTAAAGTAAAGTAAAGTAAAGTAAAGTAATGTAAAGTAAAGTAAAGTAATGTAAAGTAAAGTAAAGTAAAGTAAAGTAAAGTAAAGTAAAGTAAAGTAAAGTAAAGTAAAGTAAAGTAAAGTAAAGTAATGTGAAGTAGAGCAAAGTAAAGTAAAGTAAAGTAAAGTAAAGTAAAGTAAAGTAAAGTAAAGTAAAGTAAAGTAAAGTAAAGTAAAGTAAAGTAAAGTAAAGTAGAGCAAAGTAAAGTAAAGTAAAGTAAAGTAAAGTAAAGTAAAGTAAAGTAAAGTAAAGTAAAGTAAAGTAAAGTAAAGTAAAATAAAGTAAAGTAAAGTAAAGAAATAGACACGAAGAAAGGAAAAAAAGGTATACAGAGGTAAGTGAGGAAGAGTTAGAATAATAAGTGGGATGGCAAAAAGGTTAGGAGAAAAATTAGGAAATATATAGTAGAAAGAATATTTAAAAAAACCAAAAAAAAAAAACAACTAAAAGAATGAAGAAAAGAATAAATAAAGGACAAAATGAAAAGAACAGAAGGCTAAAAAGTAAGAAAAAAAAAAAGAGAAATCTTAAGATAGTAGAAAGATAGATAGCAAAAAATAAGAAATGACACTTTGGAGAAATAAATTAGAAGTGGATAGAAAGTATAAAAAAAGAAGGACAGAAATGAGCCAGAGAAGAAAGTCGGAAAACAAAGAAAGAAAAAGAAGACAAAAAGACTAATTAAGGAAATGTTATAGTGAGGACAGCATTGAGACAAGAAAATAAATTAATGAGTAGAGGTACCTTGAGGTAACTGCTGCAGCATCGAAAGACTGAGCACATAGGGGTATACCCAATGTGCAATGACATCGATCGTGATAACATATCATAGCATTGCATAACATAAGGCACATCTTCTTCTTCGACTTCACTGGTTGTAAACTCCGGCGAAAAGTTCGGTTGTTTATCTACCTCTGAACTTTGGTCTTGTTCAAAACTGGAATTTTGCACGCTTTTCCGTTTTACAGATCTGGCGTATTTGTGTGCAGACTGTTTATTCTTAACTGTATGCAGACTGCTTATTATTTTTGTATAGGGGAACTAAACAATTAGTCATTTTTACAACACGCTTGTTAGAAAAGGCCAATTGTTGGTCTTTTCTTGCCTTCTCTAAAATTGGGTCCTGGAACCTACACGAGTATAATGCAGATCCACCTACCGGTATTATGATTGGGTGGCTGGCACACAATCTCTTTACCCATGTACATAGTTGCCGTGATTGGACTGGGCGGCACGTTCGAAAACTGGTCGATATCTGCGGACATAATAGAAAATAGGTTGCCATTACCATACCTTCATACTCAAAACCTGTTGCAAGAAAAATAATATGAAAATAAATTCGGAAAACAAAGAAACAAACAAATAAACAAACAAACATACGCACACACGTTTAATTCCCATATAATTATGGCCGCAGATGATAGTGGGCGAATGATCTGGTAAGGGGAACTAACATTATTTGAAATATTTGTGCGTTTAATATATTACTACCACCACCACTAATATTACTACTGCTACTGCTACTACTACTACTGATGTTACTACTACTGCTGCTACTACTAATACTGCTGCTTCTACTGCTACTACTACTACTACTAGGCTCTGAAACAAAGCATAGACCATTTGAGACCATTCCTCTTAAAATTTGTAAGTAGCTAAGGCCCCTCCCCCACACCCACACATATCACATCCCCAATGTTTTCTTTTCGTCGGCGCTACTGGAGCTGGTAGACACTAATACTTACAAGAAAGGAAATACGAACATAAAACAAGCTTACAACTGGCACCATTAGTTTTTAACTCTTCTCAAAGAGTTGCAATGTTGTAATGTCGGTTGTTAAAATGTTGAATGTTGAATTAAAAATCGACATCACAGCACTCGGGACACTCCCATAAGTGCTCCGTCCACATCTTCAGCAGCAAGCGAAGAGTTCTAATTCCGATGGCATCTGTAGCCGTCTGATTGTATATCCGTCTCATCCTTCCCTTGAGTGTAGAGCGTCGGCCCCCATCCCCTGTTAACTCCCAGCTGCGCCCTTCTCCTCCGACTTAAATGATCTATCTGCGCATCTGCACTGTTCACTCGTTCCCAAAGGGCCCTCACAATATCTAGCTTGTCACACATCAATTCACCACCAAGTGATGCAGAACCTGCCAGTCTATCTGACTGCTTATTTCCCAACACACCGGCATTAAATGGAGAAAATTGTCGGTTGTTAAACCTACTAGTACGTCTAATAAGAGAAAGAAGGCAATTTACATTCTTTGGTCGTGTCATAATAATTGTGGAGAACAAAGGGACGGTGAGAAAGTTGGAGGGGAAAATAGGCAGCAAGAGACCGAGAGAGAAGATGCTGGGCAGTTTGACATCATGGAATATGAAGATAATCTGTGTCAGAATTTATTGAAAGTACACGAGACAAAATGTTGATGACACGCTGACTACTAACGCACACGGAATAGACTAAGAAACAGAAGACAGCGCTAATCAAACAGTATTCGAACTCTGTTCTCCCGAATCAGAACCCTGTATTCTATCCATTCGGTCAGACGTTCTTTCTCCTGAAATCGAAAGAACTAAGGGACACACGATACTCACATCCGTGCAGCACTTCTATAGGGTTTGAGAGGACTGTGCCTAGTTGGTTGCTGGCTTCACACGTGTACAAACTGGCATCCTTGTTAGGGTCAGGCTTAAAAACAAAAGTAAATATTTTATGTAATTGATATATGTCTATTGCCAAACCCGGACAATAACCCCCCCCCCCCCCTCCCCCATCTCCTGCTAAAAATGAGATTTTTATGAAGGGCTCCTAATATAGCAAGAAAAAGAAAAAAAAAAAAAAGAAAAAAAGGATCAGGTCAGAAACGATAAAATCAGAAGGGAAATAGAGGTAGCGACAACTCTGGATTTTATTAAAAAATAAAAAGGGATATATATGCTTTGGCCACATAACGCGGATGCCAACTAACAATATACCATAGCAAGCAGTGATGAACATACCGGACAGGAAAAAAAAAGAGGCCGACCAGGCAAATAATGACAGAAGGAATAACAGTCTGCACAGTCCTCAGGAATTCCCATTTACAAAACACACACGCTGGCTCTTTCCCGTAAATTATACTTCACCTCGAAACGGCATGAGCAGTTTTGTTACCCAGCTACCGAGTTGAGTGCATGGCGCGACACTGTGAGCTATGGATTTAAGGCAGACAGGCAGACAGACAGACAGATAGACAGGCAGGCAGGCAGGCAGGCGGGCGGGCAGGCAGACAGATAGATAGATAGATAGATAGATAGATAGATAGATAGATAGATAGATAGATAGATAGATAGATAGATAGATAGATAGATAGATAGATAGATAGATAGATAGATAGATAGATAGATAGATAGATAGATAGATAGATAGATAGATAGATAGATAGATAGATAGATAGATAGATAGATAGATAGATAGATAGATAGATAGATAGATAGATAGATAGATAGATAGATAGATAGATAGATAGATAGATAGATAGATAGATAGATAGATAGATAGATAGATAGATAGATAGATAGATAGATAGATAGATAGATAGATAGATAGATAGATAGATAGATAGATAGATAGATAGATAGATAGATAGATAGATAGATAGATAGATAGATAGATAGATAGATAGATAGATAGATAGATAGATAGATAGATAGATAGATAGATAGATAGATAGATAGATAGATAGATAGATAGATAGATAGATAGATAATAAACAGAAATACTAGATATCTGTACATACAATTATTATCTTCAAACTTACATTTGTGATAGTCAACCTCCCGTTGGTGACAGTGTACTGTGACCCAAGATCAGAAGTGACCCACTCAATCTGTTTTCTGTACCGATACAGTAATGGAAAATCACTAAAATTAAACTTCAGTAATGGATAAAATCACTAAAGTTAAACTACAGTAATGGATAAAGTAACTAAAATAAAACTTCAGTAATGGATAAAGTCACTAAAATTAAACTTCAGTAATGGATAAAGTAACTAAAATAAAACTTCAGTAATGGATAAAGTAACTAAAATAAAACTTCAGTAATGGATAAAATCACTAAAATTAAACTTCAGTAATGGATAAAATCACTAAAGTTAAACTTCAGTAATGGATAAAGTAACTAAAATAAAACTTCAGTAATGGATAAAGTCACTACAATTAAACTTCAGTAATGGATAAAATCACTAAAGTTAAACTACAGTAATGGATAAAGTAACTAAAATAAAACTTCAGTAATGGATAAAGTAACTACAATTAAACTTCAGCAATGGATAATGTCACTAAAATTAAACTACCCTTTTTATGTTAGAGGCACACACACAAAAAAAAACTTATGATTCTAGACTTGTCTGTTTGTTTTGTTTATGGTCACGGGCCGCCTTTACTTCCAAATCTTAACGTGGATGAGCAGACGGTCTGGGAGATATTCAAAGCTAAGAGAGAGAGACAGGGGGGCATTTAATCTGGTTGCAACTGGTACTGTTCGTATGTTAACTCTTCGTTGGCTTCTTCGGACGGCGATGAAACATGTGTGAGAATGACTGACTGACTGACTGACTTTCTACCCCACCAGGACATCACACAAGCGATAAACACCCAATGAAACCGTGTGCCACCATGTGGATGAGGATCACCATGGAGAGGTCCCAGAAACCGCGTTCAGCCTTTAGGCCATATTTAAGGCAAGGCTATATTGCGGCCCCTGGCAAAAGCCAGAGTAGGGCTTCAAATGACGAAAAATTTTATCCTAAAAAGGATGTGAAGATAGCTGAACAATGCACAGTTCCCGAATTAATTGTTGTTAATTCCTTATTCGTTTTCAAAATGGTGGATAGCAGCGGTGTTTATTTTCGCTTGTTGTCAATTCTCTCACCCATCACAGATTCAAACAGCGGAAAATGGAGAGTCAGAAGCAACACTGAAATTCATAGTCTGTTTAAATCACCATTGATCACTGACATCATGAGAGCTAAAAGACTAAAATGGTTGGGGCACATTAAGAGAATGTCAGATGACAGAGAGGTGAAAACTGTATACACAAGGGAGATAAATGGTCGTAGACCACAACGCAGACCATGAAAACAATGGAGAGATAATATCCAGACACTTGGTGTCACCAGCTGAAAAGAGAAGGCCAACCAGAGAGATGAATGGGGGCTGGTGATATCTGCAGCAATGAACCTCAAGGGCTCGGAATGCTGAAGAAGAAGTCAATTCTCTCCGATTGTTCTGTTTCATAATCATGGACTGCTATTCTGTGTGCAATTCCAACGCAGGATCCTAAATTTTTTTTATGTTGGAGCAGAGTGTATTGTTGTTGTGCTATGTCTGTTTTATCCTTATTGGTAACTAGTCTTGCAATTTGTCCAATAATTTCCTAAACTATTTTGATGTAATTTTCAAGTCACTTCTCACGCTGTTTTGTAACATAATTTCGCATAAAGTTTATCATGTCATTTCACAAGCTGTCTGTAATATAATTTATGATGCCATCTTTAATGTCATTCACTGTGTCATGATCATGTAATGTACCAAATCGTTTGTCAAGTAAACTTCTTTTACTAGTCACCATTCCATTTATCATGTCATTTGCAGGACACTTCTATTTGTTATTTACCAGTGTTTCTCAAACTTTTCTTAGTCGCGGCTCCTTTTTTCAATTACAATTTTTTCACGGCGCCTTAACCTAAGTAAAAGTAGGACTATTTGTATGTAAGCGATTAAAAAACAATGAAACTCGTGTATCTTTGAATATTTCGCGGCGCCCCTGTAAAGAGGTCGCGGCTCCCCGGGGCGCCGCAGCGCACAGTTGGGAAATCACTGTTATATACACTCTATTTACCGCAGCATTCCTGATACCATTTCTCATTTCATTTCTTAAGCTTTTTTTTTAAATTGTCCGTCAAATCATCTGTCGTATCATGTAACATACAATATTTCAAATAGCTGCTATAAGTAATACGTACTGACTAGGCGACTGCCGGAACCAGCGATAGCTGGGCGAAGGGTAGCCAGTAGCCTGGCACTCCAGCACCACCGTGGTCATACGTCCACTGGTCTCAAAGAAGATCGTGTCGGGGCTCTGGTACGTAATGTTGGGTCCTATCTGCAGCAGGTTGGGGTCTGTGATACTAGTTCCGTAGGCTGTAGAAGTAATCGTGAACTACTTACCCAACTTGACAGCGAATTTAGAGGCAGGAACATGTATAACAGGCCACAAACACAGAAAATATTTATAACGTTCTGTTAAAAAACAAAAAAAAAAAAATCCTTATTTGAAAACAAAAGTAAGTATTAGATTATGTGGGGTTTAAATATGGCGGTGTATGCTGGTCAATAAAAGAAAAGTCAAGCAATTTCTTGAGGCCTCTGAAATGGGCTTTTTCAGAAGAATCCTCTTTATAATTTTGTGGGCAGCCAAGAAAAAGAGCAACCCAAACGTTTTAAAAGAGGCGAGGATTCGAAGACATCTTTACACAACACCAGAAAGATACAGTCATAATTTTTTGGCCATGCCATGAGAAGGGGGAAACCGGAACACGTTGTGACCACTGGAAAGATTTGTGGAAAAAAAGAGACAGAGGAAGACAACGTGAGACGCTTCTTAACAGCGTTCTGTCATGGCCTGCAGTGGTGTCAGCACACAAACTGATACACGCTGTCGATGAAGACATGTTATGGAGGCATGATAGCCAACGCCGAGGAGCGGCTGGCCGAACGGTTAGGACGCTACCTTCTCATGCGTGAGATCCGGGTTCGAATCCTTGGTAAGGCTGGGTATTTTTTATGTCGGAAAAAATAAAATCCTCACCTGCACAGTTGTGGCGACAGCACTAGACATGCGGATCTGAATCCTCAGTTCAAAGACCCTCTGCCTACACCCCAAAGGTGGTATATAAAGGCAGTAATTGGCAAATAGCCAAAGCTAGTTGAGTTGGCAAGGCACTTGATGGTGACGACCACATTTTAAGTGTCCTATAGGTTTACAACATACTAACTTGTAACCACACAATTAAATCCATGGCAGCCAAATTAAACATCTGTAAACACACATTTTCTTCAAAACTTATATAATGCCACAGAAATCTCGCTTGCACGAACACAGCTGATGTAAATCTTGTCTGTACTAATTTATTCATTCATTCATTCATTCATTCATTCATTCCTTCATTCATTATCCTGTTGTGCCATTATATGTCACATAGGGCTCGCAGTCTATTCCTCCATTCCGTCACATCATGTGCAATCATTTCAATATCATAGATGGAACCCAGCCCAGCAGCTTTGGCCTCTCTCATCAACGTTCGTCTAAAGGGTTTCTTTTAGGCGTCCTCGCCTCCTCAGTCCCTTCATTTTCAATTGTAATATCGGTGTGGTGTACTAATACAATAAAAAGAAAACTCGTTTGTATTAGTACAACTTACAGAAATCTCGTTTTTGTTGGTGCAGTTTCCAGGCATCCAGCTGGCTTATCTCGCAAATGAATGGACCTGTCTTCATTAGCCTGCTCCAAGCCCACATATATTCATTTTGAGAACCTGTAAAGAAGACAATACACATATGAAACAAAACAGTCCAATAAACATATGAAACAAGATAAAAATCACCGCCCCCGTGTGGGTTTTGGGGCCCCATTGTGGGGAAAACAAGAATAGACCAACTGCCTCCATAAAAGCATGTCGTAAGAGTCGACTAATTGGGGAGTTTCCTTTGAAGTCGGAGAGCATCTGCCGGAGAGGCAAGGAACCAACAGTCTGTATTCAAGAGAATGAGATCTGTAAAACTGATGCACACGCAACACTCAGGTTCTGGTGCAAGACTGCAGTTCAGTAGTGGACGAGCAACCAGAACTTCCCGCCACAGTGTACAGCTGGTGAACGCAAAGAAGAAGAAGATATGAAACAAAACAGTCAAATAAACATATGAAACAAAACAGTCCAATAAACGCATGAAACAAAACAGTCACACGAAAAACGAATGAAACAAAACAGCCCAATAAACATATGAAACAAAACAGTCAATAAACGTATGAAACAAAACAGTCCAATAAACGCATGAAACAAAACAGTCACACGAAAAACGTATGAAACAAAACAGCCCAATAAACATATGAAACAAAACAGTCAATAAACGTATGAAACAAAACAGTCCAATAAACGTATGAAACAAAAACATTCCAAAAAAACATATAAAACAAAACAGTCAAATAAACGTTTAAAACAAAACAAACAAACGTAAGGCATAAAACAATAAATAAAAAAAAAAAAACATATGAAAGTAAAAAAAAAAAAAATAAGAAACAAAATAGTCGAATAACCATAAAAAACATATGAAACAAAAACAGTCAAATCAACACATGAAGAAAAAAATCAAATACCTTTATGAAATAAAACCGTAACATAAACAGGTCAAATAAACATATGAAACAAAACAGTGAGATAAATATATGATACAAAATAATCAAACGCGAACGACAACATCCATGCATCAGTCAACCCAGACATCTCTCTTCCTTCTGTTTTTCTTTGCTTACATTTTCTCCCGTATCCCTATCTACCTATTTACCTTTATATCCATCCATCCATCGATCCATCGTTCTATCTATCTATCTATCTATCTATCTATCTAATCTATCTATCTATCTATCTATCTATCTATCTATCTATCTATCTATCTATCTATCTATCTATCTATCTATCTATCTATCTATCTATCTATCTATCTATCTATCTATCTATCTATCTATCTATCTATCTATCTATCTATCTATCTATCTATCTATCTATCTATCTATCTATCTATCTATCTATCTATCTATCTATCTATCTATCTATCTATCTATCTATCTATCTATCTATCTATCTATCTATCTATCTATCTATCTATCTATCTATCTATCTATCTATCTATCTATCTATCTATCTATCTATCTATCTATCTATCTATCTATCTATCTATCTATCTATCTATCTATCTATCTATCTATCTATCTATCTATCTATCTATCTATCTATCTATCTATCTATCTATCTATCTATCTATCTATCTATCTATCTATCTATCTATCTATCTATCTATCTATCTATCTATCTATCTATCTATCTATCTATCTATCTATCTATCTATCTATCTATCTATCTATCTATCTATCTATCTATCTATCTATCTATCTATCTATCTATCTATCTATCTATCTATCTATCTATCTATCTATCTATCTATCTATCTATCTATCTATCTATCTATCTATCTATCTATCTATCTATCTATCTATCTATCTATCTATCTATCTATCTATCTGTCTATCTGTCTATCTGTCTATCTGTCTATCTGTCTATCTGTCTGTCTGTCTGTCTGTCTGTCTGTCTGTCTGTCTGTCTGTCTGTCTGTCTGTCTGTCTGTCTGTCTGTCTGTCTGTCTGTCTGTCTGTCTGTCTGTCTGTCTGTCTGTCTGTCTGTCTGTCTGTCTGTCTGTCTGTCTGTCTGTCTGTCTGTCTGTCTGTCTGTCTGTCTGTCTGTCTGTCTGTCTGTCTGTCTGTCTGTTAGGGCTGCACCGAATATTCGCTTCGTATTCGCTTCGGGGCCGAATAGTGGACCTAATAACTATTCCTTATTCGGCCGAATAGTTGCGGTCGGGCCGAATACGAATAGTGGTTACCTTACTCCCGTTTCTGCTTACACTGTGATGGACTGAAATAACTTTTTCATTAGCACAATAGTTGCTGTTGCCTAAGTCTGTCGTAGCGGGGGGAAACTGCGACCCGGTTGCGTGGTACAAACTGCATGTGTGTGTGTGTGTGTGTGCGTGTATGTGTATGTCTGTAAGTGTGTGTCTGTGTGAGAGAGAGGGAGAGAGAGAGGCAGAGAGAGAGAGAGAGGCAGGCAGAGAGAGAGAGAGAGAGAGAGAGAGAGAGAGAGATCATGCATTTTTCGTTCTTTCAAGGTGTCTTCGCCCAAATCAAATTTGAAGATTTCGCTAACGTGAATATGAAGGTGCGTTTAAATTACATCGAACGAACGGCCGAGCGAACGATGGTTTTGAAAGAGGCGGGAGCCCGAAGACAACTAATCACAGACATCAGAAGGAGACAATCGTCATTTGTTCACTCATGTTATGCGAAGAGGGAAAATTGAACATTTGGTGACCACTGGAAAGATCTGTGGATGGAGGGATAGAGGACGACAACGATAGAATATTCTTGACAGTCTTGTTGCACGGCATGGAGATGTGTCAGCACACGAACTGATATATGCTGCAGGAGATAGGAGATTGTGGAGAGGCATGATCGCCCACGCCAGTCGGCAAGGCACCTGATGATGATGATGCTACACTATTCGTATTCTTATTCGTATTCGGCCGAATAGTTGGTCCCACTATTCGTATTCGGCCGAATAGTGAAAATCACTATTCGGTATAGCCCTACTTTCTATATCTAACTACCTGCCTTAATGTTCGTGTGTCTGTCTATCGATCTCTGCTTACACATCAAGACGTCCACCTGCTAGTTTAGAAGCAACGATTTGCGTATCCATCTTCTGTCTATGTGTCAGTGAGATGATAAGAAACAAATATAACAGTGGACATAACAAGTTAACAAGAGTCCAAAGCTACCTTTGTGGAATCTGTACACTATCTGGTTGTACTCAATTTTGGTGAGTGGATCCTGGACTGTCTTGTTACGATCAGACGGATTCGGGAAGTAGTCGGTGCGGATCTCGGTACCATCAGACTCCCACAGAAGTCGCCCTGTCAAGTCTCTGAACCCGCTGGTGAACCAGTCTTGTCTGTTGGAACATATAAAGCAGACAATATGTACTGCTAGAACATAAATAATATTAGCTTTGCTGTTGGAGCATAAGAAGACATAAGATATACTGTTATGTGTATAAATATACACGGTCAGAACATAACAAACACACAATCCATTCTGTAGGAATATAAAAACATACACGATATGTTTTAAAACATACACAATACACTGTTAGCACAAATAAGATAATAGAGAACAACTCAGATATACTTTTAGAACAACTCAGATATACTTTTAGAACAACTCAGATATACTTTTAGAACAACGCAGATATACTTTTAGAACAACTCAGACATACTTTAAGAACAACGCAGATATACTTTTAGAACAACTCAGATATACTTTTAGAACAACTCAGATATACTTTAAGAACAACTCAGATATACTTTTAGAACAACTCAGACATACTTTTAGAACAACTCAGATATACTTTTATAACAACTCAGATATACTTTTAGAACAACTCAAGATATACTTTTAGAACAAGATATACTTGTAGAACAACTCAGATATACTTTTAGAACAACACAGACATACTTTTAGAACAACTCAGATATACTGTTAGAACAACTCAGATATGCTGTTAGGACTACTCATTTATATTGTTAGAACAACTCAGATATACTGTAAGAACAACTCAGATGTACAGTTAGAACAACACAGGTATACTGTTAAAACAACATAGGTACAACTCATTTATATTGTTCGAACAACTCAGATATATTGTTAGAACAACTCAGTTATACTGTTAGAACAACACATATAGACTGTTAGAACAACACGATATACTGTTATTAGAACAACTCAGACATACTGTTAGAACAATTCATATGTAGTGTTAGAACAACACATGTATACTGTTATAACAACACAGGTAAACTTTTAGAACAACACGTATTCTTTTAGAACAACACAGGTATACCTTTAAAACGACACAGGTGTACTTCAAGAACAACAGCTAAAACAATCCAGATGTACTGTTAGAACAACACATATATAATATAAGGGTAAACATCACGGGAGCCGCGCGGCTAGACCTCGCTTACAGATACTAGGGCCGTGGGTAGATACTAAGTTCGTGGGTTCGAGTCCGAGCAGAACCGGACTCTCTTTTCTTTCTTCAAAATTGCCCTTGGCTCCCAAGTCGACCCACCCTTGTGTGGGTACCAGGTAAATTCCTGGGAAGTATCTTGTCCACAAAGTTCCCACTGACCTACAAAATATAGGTCTCGCACTATATACCTAATACGCCACAAGGCGTCTCCCCAAGTGCCCAAACCAAGCTAGCTTGCGACCTTTCACCACTGCCAAGAGAGGCTTCTTGTGTCCTGTAAATGTGTATATTTTGTCTATGACATATTTCCTGAGACGGTTTGGTCCTGTTAAAGCTCTAGCGACGACGCTTCTCTGACTATTTCCTAGATGTGTCCGTGTAGGGGTCGGATGGTGCAGTTATCGCAGCTCTAGATAAAAACCACAACACAGTATCAACAAAGCTTGTAAGTGCGAACGCAGAAGAAGAATTTCCATGCTCAAAGCCGGGCATTGTGGATTCAAACCCACGACGATTTTCGGGCTGGTGCAAGAATCTAGCACAGGTGTGGGTAAATTATTTCCCACGGCCCAAACCAGTTAGAAAATAATTATAACACGAAAACCTAACTTTCATGTAGGGGAAAAAAAATCCAAACAGCCACACAAAAAAGTAAAGTAATAATATCATTGGAAGTGATAATCAGAAACTGACATATTACCGAATCTTTTGTCTTGCAAGTGAAACACTTGTTGCTGACAAACTAGGACATTAGGAGAAAGTGTCTGTCGGCGGACTTTGATAATAAAACATCTGGTGACGACCGTTCTATTCTCTGGTTAGCAAGTTTATAGTTGCAAGTTAGCAACTCTATCGTAGTTGGCTAAACCGGATTGCGCGGTGAGCGGGTAACGAACTCCTTGTGGTCCGGGTTCACTCCCGGGGGTAGGCAGAAAAGCCACATTTTCTCCCAGATTTACGGTATTTACAATGGAATCAAGGCCGAAAGGTTGCGATATCCATGATACCGAGCCTAAGGGGCTAACAACTCATGGCTTCTGGATACTAAACAAAACATAGATCAACAGACCACGGTAGCCTTTCTTGGCATTAGTTTTTCTCAGGACGGGGCCGTGGTTTTTTTTTTTTTTTCTATATGGTCCACGACCTTGTTGGTAATTCTAAATTTGGTCCGCTGACCAAAAGTGGTTGCCCATCCCTGATCTTAAGCTAGTGGACGTAGATTCGCCTAGAAAAACGGTAACAGCAAATAAAAAAAATAAAAAAAGTCTGGACTGGTTCTGCAGCGTCCTGTAATGGATACGCAACTCACTTTTAGGGTGTGTTGTACAATGTCCTGTAAAGGATACGCAACTCACTTTTGGGGTTTGTTGAACAACGTCCTGTAAAGGATACGCAACTAGTTTTTAAGGTTTGTTGTACAACGTCCTGTAAAAGATACACAGCTAACTTTATCCTTGATCTAGTACCTTTGATACCCAGCGCCCACTTCTTTCTTGATTCTCCCCTTTCCCCGGTCACTCTCTCTCTCTCTCTCTCTCTCTCTCTCTCTCTCTCTCTCTCTCTCTCTCTCTCTCTCTCCCCTCTCTCTCTCTCCGTGTTGTTTGTTTGTGTGTCCCGTTCAGTCAAGCAGGAACCGAATCTGCTAGAAGAACCGTTGACACCGCTATATTCGTGACCGAGAACATACAGAAGTACAGTTAGTCACAGGGCATGTACGATTTGATCTGCCCTAAGTGACTTATAAACAACCTTTCAACCAGACCTCATGCCCAGGTTGTCCTGTGTTGACCCTTAGACATGCTGACAACTTTCCCTCTTTCCCGATGATAATGTCATACTAAGTCGTATATCAGGGGTTCTCAACCTTCCTAATGCCGCGACCCTTTCTTACAGCTCCTCGTGTTGTGGCGACCCTTTCTTACAGTTCCTCATGTTGTGGCGACCCTTTCTTACAGTTCCTCATGTTGTGGCGACCCTTTCTTACAGTTCCTCATGTTGTGGCGACCCTTTCTTACAGTTCCTCATGTTGTGGCGACCCTTTGTTACAGTTCCTCATGTTGTGGCGACCCTTTCTTACAGTTCTTCATGTTGTGGCGACCCTTTCTTACAGTTCCTCATGTTGTGGCGACCCCCAAGTATACAATTATTTTCGTTACTACTTCACAACCTCAATGAATATGTCTTCCCATGGTCTTTGACGACCCCTGTGAAAGGTTCCCTGTACCCAAAAAAGGTCGCGACCCCCACAGGCTGAGAACCGCTGTTTTATATATATATATATATATATATATATATATATATATATATATATATATATATATATATATATATATATATATATATATATATATATATATATATAATGTTATACAGCAGTGTCTCACTGAGTGGATCATGTTTCCGACTGCAGATTATGGAAGATTATTCCAAGCATAACGACTTGTGTGGCCGTTACGGGGGCCCTAATTATAACTTCTTCGAAGATTAAACAGGGTAACTGGGATCTGCTTTCTTGGTCTGCCAGCTAGATCGAGATTTTCACATCTCAGGATGGTACGGTAAACCTTAAGGTAGCAGCCGCGGGACAGGACAAACGGATGGCTCGACCAGTGGCGTAAAAAAAAAGTGTCTTTTATATTACTGGTAATGGTGACAATGGTAGAAATAAGAATGCTGATGTTGGAGAAGTGATAGTGAGATGATAATGGTGGTGGTTATGAAATTAGTGGTATGGTCGTCGTGGTAATATATATCATGTTGTTATCACATTTGCTGGAACTATGTAGCAGTAATTAAAGTGGTAAACAGTCGGTACTTTTGAACTGATAAAGCAAGGAGTAAGTTAGAGATGTGTCTTATCCCCAGACCTTTTCTCTCTATATAGTGAAATTATTTTGTGGGAAATTAAAGAGAAAGCAGGAGTAAGAGTTGTCGAATACAACATAAACAAATTGCGTTATGCAGACGATACAGTTTTGATAGTTGAAAATACAACTGATTTACAACTGCTGGATATTGTGGGGATGGAGAAAGGACTTATCCTTGAATATTAAGAAAACGGAAGTAATGGTTATATCAAGAAGATAACTCGACATTGTGATATCTCAATTGAAGGGACACGACTTAACTAAGTCAACAAACTCAAAAACCTGGTAACAATCATATCATCAGATGGAAAATGTGTGACAGACATTAAAAGCAGAATAGGCCAAGAGAAGGCAGCATTTAAGAAAATGAAAAATATGCAGTAAGTCACTCTCATTTAATATCAGACAGTTAAAAATGTTAGTTGCGTATACTTCACAGGACGTGGCAGAACCAACTCTAGCATTTTTTGGCTGTTGTGGTTTTTCTAGGCAAATTTTACTTCCAGTAGATGTCAGAAAGAGGGTGCTAAAATGTTACATAGAACCTGTTGTGCTGTATGGCAGCGAATCTTGGAATGTCAGTGAACAAATTAGGAAGAATTTTAAGAAACAGAGCTGTGGTTTCAGAGACGAATGTTACGAATACCTTGGACGGCCAGAGTAACTAACAACGATTGTTTGAAAGAAGCTAATTAAAAGTAGATCTCTATATTTAAAAAAAAGAAGAAGACAAACACTATTCCTTGGCCACGTAATGAAAATAGAGGCTTTGGAAAACATCGTGACAACTGGAAAGATAAGTGGAAAGAGATGAAGAGGCAGACCAAGAGAAATAATGCTGCTGGATAGGTTGAAACGATGGTATGGAGGGATATCATCAAGAGAGCTTTTCTAGGCAACCAGGGATCGTGATCTGTGGAGACGCATGAGCGCCCACGCCAGTTAACAGGGCACATGATAATGATAATGTTATGATGACGATGTCCTTATGATGACGATGATGATTTTAATGAGGAAAAGGACATTGGAGATGGCGACGAGGACGAGATCTTTACATTACCTCAAGCTGTCGTGTTTATTCAGCCAGTCCTGGATAAACATGTGCTCGTCTGCCGAGTTGACACTGACCAGTGAGGCGTAGTTCTGTAAGCAAGCAATGGACGCTTCTTGGTACGTCATGTCGCTTGTTAGGACAAAGTTGTAGCAGCTTGCATTGTTGGCCATCCAAGAGCTAGGGCAGTCTGTACGAACGAACAAACGAACTTTGTTTTCAAAGGGTCACAAATTGGGCACGCGGGCCTGTCTTACATTTGACCCTTCCAACACCCATCTTTCACAAAGCAGTTGTATTTTATCAATAAAGCATGTTCTATTCATGTAATAGTTTGCATGTTATGAATATCAAGTCAAAAACAAGTATCTGCTGTAGGTAAACAAGTAGAAGACGTTTTCCTAAACCATGAGGATTGTTGGGGTAGATGGTGCGCTTTCAGGAAGCAGCGGTGACGTTATGGCTAAACACGCACCGGCCTGCCCCTGAGGTCTTTAATTCGAAACAGTAAGTAAATTAAAAAGTAAAGCTCCCTTTTTCAATGAAAATTTAGGACTAGACCTATGTTTTATAGACCAATCAGTACTCTGTAGGTGATATGGTGACCATCACGTGGGCGCATTTACTTCTTGGGCTTCACCTGGTACTGATGTAAGGCTGTGTCGACTTGGGACTTGAGGCCATTTTTGAAGATAAAATATCTGGCTTCACTATGAGCAGAACTCATGAACTCCGGATCCACAGGCGAGCGTAAAGTAGTAGAAGTCTCCACCCCAGCCCCCAAAGCCATGAGATCATTTGGATATGTGATGCTATTTTATATTCTTATAAGCAGCCGCAGTGGCGTTATGGCTATAAACGTGTGGTCAAGGCCCCCTTGGGAGCAAGTGAACATCTGAAGGTACGAACAGATCACTATGATCTGGCGAGAATGGTACAACTAGGAGTGACCAGAGAATCTGGTCGAGACTCTTCACTCAAGTGCTACTAGCACCGTGTATTTTGGAACTCTTAGCTGGCGGGTGAGCACTTTCTCGGATATTCTGAGTGCTGTGGTGTCAGTTCTTAACACTCAATACATCACTTGAATCCAAAATAAGCAAAACAAACTTACCGTTGACAGTTTGCTGTGTCTTCGCCGTCGACGCCAGCACCAGCAGCAACATCCACTGCAGCATTGTGCGCTCTATGGAGTACACGTCCACCAGCTAGTGCCTGTGGTACCATCCAAGTTCGGCTTCTGTGGGAGCAGCAGCAACATTTGTTTCTATTGTCGTCTGTTTCAATAACTGTGTATAGACGCGATGGGTAGCATCGTAACCATCATTCATCATCGTCATCGTCCTCTTCCTCATTTATATCCTCATCATCATCATCATCATCATCATCATCATCATCATCATCATCATCATCATCATCATCATCATCATCATCATCATCATCATCATCATCATCATCATCATGATCATGATCAACATCATCATCATTATCATCAACATCATCATCATCATCATCATTATCATCATCATCATCATTATCATCATCATTATCATCATCATCATCTTCATCATCATCATCATCATCGTTATCATCATCATAAAATCATCATATCTGTTATCATCATCACCGCCACTACTATCATAGTAAAAGTAAAGGGCCATTTTTCACTGCTAGAATACTCCCCAATATTAAAATCACTACTATCATTTCATCAACATCAGCATTCTTATTTTTATCATCATCTCAGTAAAGTAGGGATCCCTTTTAGAAGCTGATGATAACAACCACGAAAAAGAAGACGACAGAGAAATAACCAGAGCCTTGGGTACGATGAGGAAGTAAAGAAAAAAATAAGCAAACGATGATAACAACCATGACACAAAAATAAAAGACGACAAAGAAATGACTGAAGCGTTCGGTTCGATGAAAGGGAAAACAAGAAAGAAAGAAAGAACAGTAAAAAAGAACGAAATAAGAAGAAAGAACAAAAAATAAATAAATTATAAAGCTTATAATGGGGTGATGATAATAAAGGTCGAAGACAAGAGAATAATAGTTATGGGGTAATAGTAATAACAATAATAAAGATGAAATAATAATAATAATAATAATAATAATAATAATAATAATAATAATAATAATAATAATAATAATAATAATAATAATAATAATAATAATAATAATAATAATAATAATAGACCCCTAACCCGCAAAAAGTATGTCGTAAAAGACGATTAATTAGAAGTATACTGAAATCGGATGTATGGGCCAAAAGTCGCCAATATTGCAGAGAAAGAGAAAAAAATAATAATAATGAGGAGGAGAGGTAGGGGGAGAACATGTAGAAGAAGAAGCAGAAACAAGTCGAAGTAGAAGAGAAGGAGGAGGATGAAGAAGAAAGCAAGAAATAAAAATCGAAAACTAAGAAATAAAGACGAAGCAAAAAAAAAAAAAAAAATGAGAAATGCGAATGACGTTGACAACGAAGCGATGGTAACTGATATTATCATGGAAAACGTTCTACTAACAACAAAATTAGAAGGAAATAGCTTTTGTGGTGCTGAACTGTGGTCTCCCAACTGCACAAATCTCTCTCTTTCTCTCACTTTCTCTATCTTTTTCTCTCTTATGCATATTATTATATTATTATAACATGCTTTATTGATAAAATGCAAATGTAACTGCTGTGTGAAATATGCTTGTCTGGAAGTGTCGAATGTAAGACAGGCCTGCGTGCCCACTTTGTGACTCTTTGAAAAAAAAGTGAGTTCATTTGTTCGTTCTCTTTCTCTTTCTTTCTATTTCTCTCTCTCTTTCTCTTTCTTTCTATTTCTCTCTCTCTCTCTCTCTCTCTCTCTCTCTCTCTCTCTCTCTCTCTTTCTCATGGGATAACGACTGCATGATAGCTTTCATAAGGGCTAACGGCCTCCTGATATATATATATATATATATATATATATATATATATATATATATATATATATATATATATATATATACTTATTACCTTAAACGTCCCCGTGTGGTTTCCAGGGTCCCATTATAAGAAAAACAAGAAATGACCCACTGCCTACCCAAAAGCATGTCGTAAGAGTCGACTAATTGGGAGCTTCCTTTGAAGTCGGAGTGCATCTACCTGAGAGGCAAGGAACCAGCAGTCTGCATACAAATGAGTTAGGTCTGTGAGGCGGATGCATAAAACAGATGCACACGCAACACTCAAGTTCTGGAACCCGACTGCAGTCCAGAAGTGGATGAACAACCAGAACTTTCCGCCAGAGTTTACAGCTGGTGAACGCGAAGAAGAAGAAGATTACCTTAAACCGAGAAGAGGCGAACCGAGAATCACCAAAGAGGCAGTGAAATTGGAAATAGAATAATTGATGAAAAAAGAACACACAGAGAAAGCCCAATGCGAACAGTGATGAGAGAAGCCACAAGTGCTATGCTTAATTCCATTCAGGATATAGACAGTTTTCACTGCGAGCCCTATATAATGGCACAATATGACAATGTAAGATAGAATGAATGAATGAATGAATGAATGAATGAATGAATGAATGAATGAATGAATGAATGAATGAATGAATGAATGAATGAATGAATGAATGGAAGAAAGTTATTCCATTTTACAATAATCACAGCATTCAATGGTAAAGAAACAATATCATACAATGACGTCAGTTTCCAGTTTGAAGTTTAAACAACGGATCAGCATTATAGCACACGGGTAGTAACCCATTAGTGCTCCGTTCTTTTTCTAACTGAAGTCCAGTCTGAAGAAGCTCAGCACAGTGAACAGGCTCTGTAGCACCGGCGAGGATCAAAACAGTTCCCGTTACTAATTTAACTTTAAGGATGCTGACCACTTTGAATCGGTCTCTGTTTTCTTATAAATCACAAATGAGGCCCAAAAACGACGTTTGCTTACATTAAAAACAATTCTTGCAAGTACATGATTATTAACAAGTTGCATTCAAATTTCAACAACTTACACCGAACGATTATGCATGCAAATTTCAACAACTTACACCGAACGATTACTAAAATACAGATTTTTAAAGTTGAACGCAACTTCTGAAAAAGACATAAAAACAGTTAAAAAAATTCCCGAACTCAGGTCACTAAAGACAATGCCTTGACGGTTACTGTCTGGAATATGAAGAGAATCTAGTTTTTATGTGTTTCACACACCCCCCCCCCCCACCTCCCCCCACCCCCACTTCCCACCTCGCCCCATATCTGAACAATGACTTTTGAAGGGTTATTGGTATGTACTCCCACTTAACGTTCCCGGAAGACGAACTCCTTGTGGTTCGGGTTTACGCCCGGGCGTAGGCAGAAAAGCCACATTTCTCCCAGATTTACGGTACCTATTATGGAATCAAGGCCGAAGGGTTGCGATATCCATAGTACCGAGCCAAAGGGTTAACAACTCATGGTTTCTGGTTTTACATTTTTAACAAGAGCAATTTAATAAGTCCTGACCATGCTAAGTTTGTGTGTGTATGTTGAGCCTCTTTTGAAATCAATTCACGATATATTCGCGTGTACACATACGGGAGCCGCGGTGGTGTAGTGGTTAGACATTAGGCTGCCGGCGCAATTGTTTTGGGTTTGAATTCGCAAATGCTAAGTGAAGATATAGACACGTATGACTGGATGTAGCAGTGTTAAATGGAGTTTAGAGGTGAGGTTTATTTATTATTATAGTTAGTCTCTCCTTCGTGACGAGTCATTTGCTTGCCGAAGCACGTCTTCTGCGGCTCTAGTGTTTATGTTGTTGTTGTTATAGATCCAGCGGCGCATGAGCTTTCGCCCTTTGGCCCAATGCCAAGTAGTGGAATTTGCATGTTTTCACAAGCTGTTATTTTCCTCCGTACATGGTGTTTTACTTGTTTGGTTTTGAAAAGAGTAGCATTCTTCTAGTCTCGCTGAGTTTTGGGCACTCAAAGAGATGGTGTTCAACAGTTTCGTAGGGTTAGTTACATAGCTGGCACTCTGGGGAGAGTTGTGGCTGTATTCTGTTTAGATGTCCACTGAGTGTAGTATGTTGTGTTCTATGTCTGACTAGTGTTTATGTAAAATAGTTGCTCTTTCCTCTTGAGCCTATGGCGGCGCATAGGGCAGACGTCATATGTCTCCACGTTTGGCTGTTCGTTGCCAACTGTTGGCGATCTTTGATGTTTG